TGGATATGGGTATGACCACTATGACTGACAAAACTAAAAACGTAAGCAACGCTCATATTTATATTAATGAACACTTAACCAAATATAACCGCATATTACTTAAGGAATGTAAGCAAAAGGCCAAAGAAGCTAACTTTAAGTTTTTCCGGACAAAAACTGTCGTATTTATACCCGTGGGAACGATACCTCGCCACCCATTCCTATCATAACTTCAACCGACTTAGCGAAGATTAGCTAAATATTATAAATATTATCTCTAATGCTTTATTAACTCTTGTGCTTAACTCATACATTAAAGTACGCATTTACACTAAATACACACCTGCTTCGTACACTAATTACATATTGTACCACACTGGATACAACCTACCACACAAATCATACAGTACACAAAACTCTCATGCACACACACACAAGCACAGCTTGCTTATTGTTATGTAATTTTTATTCCTAACTTATTACTAATAACTGTATTATGGCAATATCACGTATCAATATTTAATATCTTATTTATGGTGTACGTAAACCCTGTATTAATTAATTTAGTAATCATTTTTATAAATTTCAATAAAAATCATCTGTGTCAAATTATCGCTACCACAATCAATAGATTTTTACGAGATTTTAATGTTTTTATTTTTAAAATTACTATTTAAATTAAATTTTTTATCAGAATGTTTGTGGTTTACGTACAAAAACGAATATATTTTTTAACAATCTTTCTTCATCGAATATTGACATAGCATTTATCACTGAGTCGTGGTTATGCGACGGCATTCTCGACACTGAGCTGTGCAGCTCAGGTAGGTACGATCTATTCCGTCGTAACCGTGGCACGCTAGGCGGAGGAGTGATGGTCGCATGCGCATCTCGGCTTGGGGCGCGCAGGCGTACTGACCTTGACCGTGAAGATCTCGAATGCATTTGTATAACTGTACCGGCGCATGCAATCAGTTGTCAGCACGATTTAAATATTATTTGCATCTATATTTCTCCAAACCGAGCCCTTTCATCACGACTTATTGAATTACTGACATACTTATTCAATTCTCAATCAAATGATTATTTTATTATAGCCGGTGATTTTAACCTACCCTGTATTGATTGGAAAATGATTATACAACAGTATTAAAACAGGGATGTGTCCAAATACAAAACGTGGCAAATGAATTGTTAAATATAACATCTTACTTTGGTTTATCTCAATATAATTATTTCCAGAATGCATACGGAAATGTACTAGACTTAGTATTTTCCAATGTGCCTATAATATTGGACAAAAGCCTATGTCCATTAATTAAGGAGGATGTGTGTCATCCAGCGATTGAGATGTGTGTTACAGATATTTCGATACCTCCAATCAAACCAAGTAATAACAAATTAAATTTATTTCTTAAAGCAGATTATCATCAGTTAAACACATATTTTTCTGACTTCGATTGGACCTTTTTACATACACAAAACTTGAAAAATGTTACTGACAATTTTTATTCAATATTATATACTGCCATTACTAAATAGGTACCCCAAAAAGTAATTTCTCATTCATATATCTACCCTGTGTGGTATAGTAATACCCTTATAAAATTAATAAAAGAAAAAGCTAAGTATCACCATCTCTGGAAAAAACATAGTAACCCAGGAGATTATGCCTCTTTTTCCAAAATACGGTCTAGGGTTAAGAAACTCGAAAAAGAATGCTATTTCTCTTATATTAAATTATATCAAGAAAAAATCAAATCATCGCCTAAATTATTTTGGAGTTACATAAAATCAAAAAGAAAGAACCGATCTAATTATCCTCATGTAATGCAATTAAATGGTAGTAATGTCGTTAATAAATTAGACATCTGCAATGCTTTTAACGACTTTTTTAGCAGAAATTTTATTCTACCAGCACAGCAATATAGTGAAATATCTGAAGAGAGAGCGACATGCTGTAATATCATAAGTGGTATACACATCTCCATTGCCGACACAATGAAATTTCTAAAAAGTGTTAATTGTTCCAAAGGCGCCGATGGTGATGGAATTCCCCCTCTTTTCTTTGTAGAATGTGCAGAGTCGTTGGCAGCTCCCATAACAGTAATATCTAATAGATGTTTTAAAGAAGGATACCTTCCAAAAATTTAGAAAACCGCAAATATTATACCAATTCATAAAAAAGGAACAAAAATAGCCATTGAGAATTATAGGCCAATATAAATACTGAATGTATTAAGTAAAGTAATGGAAAGAATAGTACATAAAGAAATATACCCGTTAGTTATTCGAAATATTCCCTCCCAACAACATGGTTTTGTACGTGGTGGTGGTAGTGGATGTTCTCACGGGTATGGAATTGGTCTCCAAACTGATGCTATATATACGGACTTTGAAAAGGCTTTTGACCGCGTTGACCATATTATACTTCTCAAAAAGCTCCAAGAGTTAGGAATACGTGGTAACCTTCTCCGATGGATGGAATCGTATCTGCGTAATCGCTCACAGGTAGTCGTAGTGGCTGGGCACCGCTCGAATATTGTTGATGTTCCATCAGGAGTCCCACAGGGTTCGATATTGGGGCCCTTGTTGTATGCGGTATACTTATACGATGTGGGCAATTGTTTTCATTTTGCTAAGTTTCTTATGTACGCTGATGACATGAAAATTTACGCTTACATAAAATCTGAATCAGGTTCTTATAAGCTACAAAACGACTTATATCAGTTTTGCAGTTACTGCCGTGATAACCGTATTGGCGTAAATGCATCTAAATGTTTCCAAATTAGTTTTACTGGAAAAAGGAAAAAACTTATATGTCAACACTGACAAAACCAAAGACCTCGGAGTAGTTATTGATTCAAAAATGATGATGTCTGATCATATCTCAGCAATGGTTACTGTTACGGCCTACGGCTGCTCCCTTAAAGGGTCAAATCCTCTGGGGCCCATGAGCAGAAGACTTCACGAGCAGACGTAGGTCGGGCCTCAATATGGCCACGTGGAATTTCTCTAGTTACAATAAACAATATGGGGGAGCGTTCTATACTACGGCCAGTCGACCGGGAGGATATTAGACAGAGCTTACTTACCTATATCCAAGGCGACTGGTCCCTCCGGAGTCGGTCAGGTCGCATGTGGTTGTGTAGTGCAAGGGAAATAAAGTGATGTGATGTGTATCTGGGTGTGACTGATGGTGATTGACCCTAGACCTTGGCCGTCGGCAGCAGCCCGGGCGTCGACACCGCTCCAAATTGAGGGAACCTTCCGCGGCGTTGTCCACAGTCTCTTTCCTCGTTCGTCACGATGACAGTCCATTAACTCTATCGCACGATTAATTAACTTACAGAAGCTACTAACTCTCGTTTGTTATAAGGTTAACGCACAAAACGAACACGGATCAAAGGTCACTACCGTTTCGCGTAGCAACAGTTATTTCTAGAATATCAAAGGCCGCACTAGCTAATATTGCCGAATGCACTTATACAGATTCTGAGTCGGACCCAATAAGTCCCTGGGAAGCTCTCCAGCTAGGAATACGCGTTACAAATCCTAGACCGTATATTTACGGGCCGCGCCTAATTATTCCGAGTTCCCTAACAAAATTGACAGTGTGCTGACTTTAGCACCGCTGACAGACGACTCACTGCACTCGCGCGCGCTCGACACATCCAACAGTCAAACCGGTATAGCACCGAGCCGAGCGCCCCCTAGACGTCGATTCCGACAACAGCGTTTGGTGCGAACAGTTACAAAGGCTTATAAAAATCTTGGTTTTGTATTACGGGTTTGTCAACCTCTTTCAGACGTAGAATGTATAAAGGTTTTATATTATTCTTACATCCGTAGTGTCCTGGAATATTGCATTGTGTTTTGTGGAATCCAAATTATATAACATACATACGCGAAATAGAACGAATACAGAAAAAATTTATTAAGGCCTTGAATTTTCGATCTGAAGATAAAACATTAAAAAACAATGTTTTATTGTTTTTTAATGTTTATATTAATATCAATTATAAAGAATCATGTAACTTTCATAAATTGATGCAGTTGAAAGATCGCAGAAATTTACTGCAGATGCTATTCCTACATGATATCTGCAGTAACAAAATTGATAGCCCCTTGATTGGCTGTGATGATTATGATTGATTGTTAATTAATTTCCTGCACTGTACAGTTGTACAGTGCAGGAAATTAATTAACAAAACGAGCACCTACTAGACATACTTCGTTATTTCATGTTCCTTCGAGTCGCTCAAATTATGCACAGAATTCTGTAATGTGTCGCATACTTAAAAGTTATAATAAAGAATTTTCTTCGACTGACATCTTCCACCAAAGCAAATTAATGTTTAAGAAGGAAATTATTATATAATTAAGCAAGAGATAGCCAAACACACATAGACGTACACACACACACACACACACACACACACACACACTCGCACTCACACTCACATCCACACCCACACCCATGCACACGCACACGCGCACACGTTCACACGCGCACGCGCGCACTCACGTGCACACGCACACGCACACGCACACGCACACACGCACACGCACGCACGGACGCACGCAATGCACGCACGCACGCACGCACGCTCGCACGCACGCACGCACGCACGCACGCACGCACGCACGCACGCACGCACATCCTTCCAATTTTCTATGTTCAGAGCACGAACTTTCGAAGCTTCCAATTTACAAAAATGAAGTGACATAGGTATCTATCTCTATTCAATACGCTGCCAGGTTCAGTAGTATTAAATATTATGAGCCAATGCATTGCGTTGTTGTTTTAGCCCGGTTGCTATACTTTCGTTATTGTTAGTAGTTTAGTCCACTCGATTTTAATTTAATAATTTAGTTTTATTTAATTGGCAAGATGGCAACACAGACTACTTTTTATTGGCAGCACAGTGGCTGATGCAAGACGAACATTTTTGACTATTTCGCCACCTGCCAAAATATTCTAACCAAGTTTGCATTGAAAATCTAATATTTTGAGAAACATGGATGAAGATATGATATTTGATCCCTCTTTGAAGAAAAAAAAGAAAAAGAAGACCGGTTTCGATATTGATGCTGCACTGGCAAATGAACAAGGCGAAAGCGCATCTGTTGAGGCTCCTGTCGAGGCAGGTGACGTCGACGTGCCTGAGGACGAAAACCTTGATTTAGATAATTTCGGTAAAAAGAAGAAGAAAAAAAAGAAGACCTTTTTCAATTTAGAGGAATTAGAAAGTGCATTACCGGAGACGAAAGAAGACAAACCACCTGCGGAGGAACCCGAGCCACAAGAAGAAAATCTAGTGGATGATCTAGATCTGGAAATAGACTTCTCAAAAACAAAGAAGAAAAGAAGGAAGAAAAATCTTGATGAACTAGTTGCTGAAGAAGAAAATAGAGGTGAAGATCAAGAAAATGCTGATGACTTACATGGTGATTGGGTCAGCACGGACCGTGATTACACTTATGATGAACTCCTAGAGCGTGTATTTGATATAATGCGTGAGAAAAATCCAGGTATGGTTTCAGGAAAGAAACAAAAGTTCATTATGAGACCACCACAAGTTGTTAGAATTGGAACAAAAAAAACATCATTTGCAAACTTTACAGAAATTTGCAAAACTTTACATCGGCAGCCGAAACATTTATTGGATTTTTTGTTGGCTGAATTGGGTACAAGTGGTTCTGTAGATGGTAACAGTCAACTTATTATTAAAGGTCGATTCCAACAAAAACAAATAGAAAATGTGTTACGTAGATATATAAAGGAGTATGTTACTTGTCACACATGTCGTTCACCTGATACAATTTTGCAAAAGGATACTAGATTATTTTTCCTTCAATGTGAGACATGTGGCTCACGTTGTTCTGTTGCCAGTATTAAGTCTGGATTCCAGGCTGTAACAGGCAAGAGAGCTGCCATTCGTGCAAAGATTGCATAAAATGTAATTATTTAGAAATAATCACTTTTAAACAACTTTATGGAGGTACATAAACAATAATAAAAACTGTAAAGTGATAGTGCACATCATGTTTCTAGTTTCATTTAAATCTGGTGCAATCTGCTCGACTTATGATTTAAGTTGATTACTTTATGTAATTACATTATCTGTCCAATTAGATGAGTAATATGAATATAACCTTGAATCTACGATTACCAAAATTATTAAACATGCAAAAATTTAAACATGAAATAAACAGATTTACTCTGAAATTTTAATGTACCCCTATTTAATACATATTATGTTTATATAGTATCATACCTGTATTATTCTTGAATACAACATGTTTTTTAAGCATTTGTTTTATTTTATAGCTAGTATAGAAGTGACAGCAGTGTAGATAGCAGGGGTAGATAGAGGGAAATGAAATAGGATATAAGCAGCAGCATCTTCCTGATAACAACAACTTATCAGACAAGCAACTAATGCAAATATCCTCCCTCCCTATATCTATGGGGGAAACCTATTTTCAGCAGTGGACCTTTGACAGACTGAAATTAATGGATAGAATAGAAGGGAAAAAATTTACTTTATCTGTAGAAGATTAAAACCCTGACTTTGGAATGTGAAATTATTTTATTCCTTTTAGTTAAAAATTTTAAACAATTTTGACTTGAATGGAGTAAGGAAAATCACAATCTAACTGTCATTTTAAATACATTAAAAAAGGGAATCCCATTTTTAATGTATTTTGACGACATGGTCAATAAAGACATTAAAATCGGGATTCCTTTTTTAATGTATTTAGACGACTTGGAGATCAAGAAATATTTTCTCGTATTTAATAAAAAAATAAAATAAAATTGGTTCAGTCAAATTGTAAACCTAAAATTGAAGACTGCTAAAGTTACATTTAAAAAATTAACAATAAATTTTAAGTAAAGGAATACATATTGTAAACTTCTATTGATTTAAATAAAAGGTGTAATTTAAAGGGCTGCAATGATAATGAAAGGTAACACTGATTCTTATTAAAGAGTGACATTGTTTATTATGTCTGGTATATTCAAAAAATCTTTCCACCAGTAAAAGTCTTAATTGTACAAGTGGCAAATTAGCTAATAATAACCTGCATCGTCACTCTTTAAATGTGTTGCTTCTTACTGTTAGTACTGCATTACATTATACTTCTGTTATGTGGCTAGCTAACAACCAGTCACAACATACTGAGATTTACCCTTTCATATCATAATTTTTGAACTAAGTGCATAACTGTTTACTGAACTTTTTAGTGCTTGTCCTACTGAGCAGAAAATGATACATTGCAATGCCCATACATACATCCATATACATACTAACAGATCAAACTAGAAATTATTACTGTGCAAGTGAAAGTCAGTTCTGTTTGATGATGGATTTTAATAAAAATCTATGATATACTAGCAATCCACCTTTGCAAGGGTTCATTCTAGATGTCGACAACAGGGCCTTCTACTGGGACCATTTGTAGCTAAAAAACATCTAGGTGACTCCATAATTTCATCGAAATTGATCAAGCCATTTAGGTGGAGAAGAGAAACACACACACCAAGATTTTATATAATGTAAAGATAAAATTCTGTTGTGATCTTATTATTGCAGTATATCATCTATATAACACATCATCTTATATCATCATCATCATTACAGCCCTTCACAAGTCCACTGCTGAACATAGGCCTCCCCCAAAGAATGCCACAAAGCACGGTCCTGAGCCACCTGCATCCATCGACTTCCTGCATATCTTACCAGGTCGTCACTCCATCTAGTGGGGGGACGCCCTACACTTCGCCTGCCGGTACGAGGCTGCCACTCGAGAACCTTTCTTCCCCATCGGTTGTCGGTTCTTCGAGCTATATGGCCGGCCCATTGCCACTTCAGCTTACTAATCCGTTGGGCTATGTCGGTCACTCTGGTTCTACTGCGGATATCCTCATTTCTGAGTTTATCACGCAGAGAAACTCCGAGCATAGCCCTCTCCATAGCTCGCTGAGCGACCTTGAGCTTCCTCATCCGGCCAGCAGTGAAGGACCACGTCTCAGTTCCGTATGTCATCACTGGCCGTGTAGTGGCGGTTAAGAATATCCACTACCCCATATCTTCCCGTGGGTGTCGTAAAAGGCGACAAAGGGAAACAGGCAGGAGATGGGCAGCAGCATCTTCCTGGTAACGGCAAAATACAATAAAAAAACTGCGGTTGCCAACCCGCTCGCCAAGCGTGGCAACTATGGCAATATACCCCCCAATGAATAAAGCAACAAACAGACGGCCCCGCTATTCCTGGCTACGGTGGCGACCATGGTAACGGCGGGGCAGGGGGTGCTAAGAATCTCCGGTGGAGGTTCGGTTGCCACCTACAACGACTCATCTTATATACTGCAGTTTAAATATGTTTTCTATATCATTAGATTTTGTTTTAAGTTTGTCAGTCAATTTTATTGTCTGCTTATTGAAACCAACTCCAAATCTCCCCATGACCCTCTATTTTTATCTATATAAAAGAGAATAACAGAGTTGACCATTTTTAAATGTTTTACAGTGATATGTATTCCTTACAAAAATTAATTTTTGTAAGGAATACATATCACTGTAAAACATTTACAATGATATGTATTTCTTACAAACGCAACATTTTATGTGCTATTATTATAAAGAATTCTATTTATTAATAACAGTACATTGAATTTTGCCTCTTTTTACCTAAATCAGCAAGTTTCACATGCCTATTAATATTTTAAAGTGGTGTCCTTTTAAACAGTATCTTTGGATGTTATCTAAGTTGTAAACTACTCACTGTGTAGTTGTAAGCATGCATTGTAAATTTGGTAATTTTTTTAGGAACATTTAAATTACACTATTATACTAACAAGAAAATGATTGAAATAAAATTATTTATTGAAATAATTATAAAGGTTTATTATATTTGTATTTGTTTTTTTTTTCTATAGTTACATTATTGAATAGATATGTATATAAAACTGTATATTATATTCGTTGTTAGTCCCGTGGAACTACTTGAGGTTCATAGTCATGATTTACAGCTTTACTAAGGCTACTGACATATAAATCCAAACGTTGTGTCATACCAAAACCCCATTTATCTTTAATCTGACGACACAAATTTAAGTCAAGTTCTGCTATAAGCAATCCATCCATTACTCTTGATAATCCAGGAGTTCTGGACCCATCTGGTGCTGTAACATAACTAGAGCCATAAAAATGACCAAATTCTTTATGAGCTGGTTTCCCATCTCCAGATGTGAACTCATTTGGGAACTTTTCTGTTCCCACTCTGTTTATGGCACATGTAAAATAACTATTGGCTATTGCAGCATTTCGTGCTTCTACAGCCCATAAGTGTTCACTAAGGCCTGCAACAGTGGCAGAAGGGTTAAAGACAATTTCAGCTCCATTAATACCAAACATTAGCCAATTAAGAGGATGATGGCGTCCATAGCAAATATTAACCGCTACTTTGCCAAATGAAGTTTCAAAAACTGGATGTCCTGTGTTACCTTCAAAATAATAGGTGGATTCATTAAAATCACCTACACGAGGTATATGATTTTTTCTATGTTTTCCTATAACTTTACCCATTTCATTTATAACAACAGCAGTATTCCAAATTGTATCACCATGAACTTCATCTCTTTCCAATATTGGGGAAATGATTACCATACCATATTTGACAGCAAATTCTTTGAGGAATATGGTACTGGGTCCTTCAAGAGCTGATTCTGCAAATTCACACCAGGGTTGCTTTTCCCTAGTGCAAAATGCAAATGGCATACTCCAAGCTTCTTGTAAACAGAGAATGTTTACACCTTCATCAGCCGCAGTTTCTATTATCTTTCGAATTTTTTCAAATATTGCACACCTTTGCTTAGTTACTGGTTGATCTGTAGGTATTGCTATGGAATTTTGAATTACACCTACTTTAACAATACGGGGTTTTCTAGTTTCTTCTTTATTTGCAGGGAATTTATAAGCGGCAATTTCAAAGTGGTTTTCATTGCCAAATAATATATTATTTTTCTTTATTTCTAATTCATGATTAGATATTCTTCCATAATGAATCCTATTAAATTCCTGTAAGTCCTGACCTGAGAGGGAATTACTCACAAGTTTATCTAAACTTTGCAATTCAGATGTAGTACCCATTATTACAGCACTTATTGGTGTAATGGGTCTGTGACTACAAAGATAATTTTGCCTTGTGCGTAGATATTCTTTTTCTTGGATTATAAAATAAATTATGACTAGTTTCTGGAAACGACACCCAAATGAAATCACTATATGTTTTTACAAAACCAGTGTCAGTATGACAGATTGACATTTTTTTTTTTTTTTTTAATTTATTCGTGACCATGGTTGCGAGGACCTTCAGTCGGAAACATTACAGTATAACACAAATCATACATCAAATTAAGAATATTTAACTTTAGCAATAACAATTTAGAATGGTTTTCCATCATTTTTCTACTTTTTTCCCTATTATATAAATATAGAACAGACTAAATTACAAAATAAGCTAAGAAGCTATTTACAAACATTATCAATTAATTAAGGACACATAAATAATTAAAGTTTTCCTACAGTATTAAGTATAAATTTAAATAGAGGCATGAAAAAAGCTACATCAGTTAATAGATCCTGAACGCGGCGGGGAACACTTATAGAATTTTCTTCAGCGACATCACTAATTTCACTGACAAGTGTCAATCTTTGAATCCCAAACGATGGGCACTGGAAAATTATGTGGTTTATGTCTGCATTATGTTGAGCGCAATGTGTGCATTTGTCATCAGGTACGATCTTCATTCTGTACAGATGTGCAGGGACGAGGCAATGTCCAAACCGCAAGCGGTTAATGGTCGTTATGAACTTTCGGCCTGTGTATTTAAAGCGGTTGTACCACGGAATCGTTGGTAAGTCTGGCTGTAATTCTGCGTACCATTTTCCCTTATTCACGGTAGTAATGTTCCAGTAATCCTTCCACAGTTTCTTTGACAAGATTTTAAAGTGTTGATAATAATCTGTGAAGGGGACTTTACAATCTTGTGTTTGGTCTTCGTGGTGATCTTGCCGCGTCGCCTGATCCACTATCTCATTTCCGACTATGCCACTGTGTGAGGGAACCCATAAGAATTCTATACATTTTCCAATCGTTTGCAGCTTATCCTTAATTTTATACAAAATATAATTCTGTTTATATACTAAATTACAGTTACATAAAGCAGATAAAACACTTTTAGAATCACTAACTATCAAGATATTTATACTATTTACATTGGTATTTACATATGACAAAGCAGCTAATATAGCCCAACTTTCTGCTGTAAAAATACTACAATTACTTGGCAACTTAATACATTTAATAACTTTCATTTGTGGGTCATAAAATGCTGCTTTAACAAGATCACTCTTGGAGCCATCAGTATATATAGTGTAAAAGTCTTTCTTTTCATTTAAAAATTCTAAGAATTCATTCTTAGTACTAACCGAATTTAAATGACATTTTATATCAAGATAATTAAGTAATGTATCATATGGGCATTTGTAAATAGGCCACTTGTTACTGATGTACATATCTCTTGTCTGATTCTTTACACAAGTTGTTATTGTTGTTATTTCAGGCAATGTACCCGAAATAAGAGTATTAGCCGAGATGTTGGCTGTTCCATTTAACTGGGAGACTTCTGCAGGATATAAAATATTACTCAGGACAATATCATTGTTACAAGACAACTCCTTCAAACAGAATCTTTCAGCCAACTGCAAACGCCGCAAGGACAATGGAGGTATGCAATTTTCAACTTCCATAGAAACAATAGGAGTGGTGCGCATGGCTCCACTGATTATTCTCAGACCCATATTCTGTATCACATCCAATTTTCTTAACAATGTGCTACTAATATTCATGTAAGCTAGAGAGCTATAGTCAAAGTGACTCCTTACAATACTTTTATACAGCAAGCTAAGTGTTTTTGGATCAGACCCCCAAAAGGTTCCTGCTAAGCTTCTTAGTACATTTATGCTCTTCATGGCATTCTGACAGATATAGTTGATATGCTTATCAAATTTCAGTTTATCATCTAGCACAACTCCTAAAAATTTATGATGATTGGCTATAGGAATTGTATCATTATTATAGTTAATTTTAATTCCAGAGTTTACCAATTTGTCTTTACTGAATACTAAAACTTTACTTTTTTCAGAACTTATTTCTAATTTTAAAATGTTGCTATAATAAAGATGCAATTGTGCCAATGCAGTATTAATTCTATTAATTGCTGTATTTATATTCTGGTTTTCACTGTATAAAAGTAAGTCATCTGCAAACTGTAATATTTTAACTTGTGATGTATCTACATAATTAAGTATCTGAGATGTGTATAAATTATATAACAAAGGTGAAAGTGTCGCTCCCTGCATTGTTCCTTTGTTAACAGGCCTAGGTCCATGTAGTTTATTGTTAAATTTAACAAAAAGAGTCCTATTATGCAAGAAATTTAAAATCCAGATTAATACATTTCTTGGCAAGCTCAATTCATGCAAAACTTTTATGAGGCATTCAATATTAACATTGTCAAAGGCACCTTTAACATCTAAAAATACACATATAACATTAGAATGACTAAGTTTGGCCTTTTTAAGTTCCGATATCAGAGATACAAAGCTTTCAGAGCAACTTCTGCCTTTTCTGAATCCAAATTGTATGTGAGGTAGTTTATCCTGTGTTTCAGCAAAATAATCTAGACGCAACTTTAACATGTTTTCAAAAAGCTTACCTAAACATGATGACAAAGAAATAGGTCTGTATGATGATGGATCATTAGCAGCTTTATTTGGCTTTAAAATGGGGATTATACATTGGGTTTTCCATGACTCTGGTATAGCTAAATTATTCCAAAGTTTATTATAAATATTTAATAACATTTCTTGCGCATTAGGATGTAATTTTTTTATTAACATATATGGTATGCTGTCCAACCCTGGTGTTGTATCTTTCCTACTTTTGAGTGCTATGTACAATTCATTTAGTGTGAATGGTCTATTGAGAAATGAGTTACTTTCATTTTCAACAGATTGATCTAAAATATCATTCAAATAATCTTCATTTAACTGTGATGAGTCTGTTATGTTGTCTAAGAAGCTTGGTATCCAATCGTCAGCCAAATATCTGTTATGAGAAGAACCTATCCTTCTAAACCTTTTCATGTAGTTCCATATTCGAGAAATAGGTGTCATTCTATTAAAACTAGTACATAAATTGTGCCATGAATTAATACTTTCTTCTTTTAATATCCTTTTCTTTTGAGCATCAAGTTTTTTGTAGTTAATGAAATTAGGAATACTAGGCGATTTTCTATACTCTTTGAGGGCCTCCTTAGACTTTCGAACAGCATCATCACATGTTTGGTTCCACCAGGGTGCTGGTTTTCTCATTACCCTTAAAGTTTGTTGTGGTGTTTGCTTTGGAACAGTCTCTGCTCTAATATCATACAAAATATTTACAAAATTATTATACAAATCAATAGGTTCGGTACCATGTATTTCTAAATTACAAAATCTCGTTTCTGATAGTTCTTGATATTTAGACCAATCTGCTTTATTATAAATGTATTTTTCTTCCGCAGGACGCACTTCATATACAGAAGGCTTCACATTTAGAGCGACCACAGTTGGGTAGTGGTAACTGCCCATCGGGTCGTCATGGACATGCCATTCACAAAGAGGAGCTAATGCGGAACTAACCAGAGCTAAATCTATTGCCGACTGATTTCTCTTAGGATACTGGACAGTTGTAGCTATGTCACCATCATTCAGAATACACAAGTCAAAGTCATCAATAAGTGCATATAAACTGTTACCTCTATTATTTAATAAAATGCTGCTATTGGGAGGACAATATACACATAGAATATGTAACTTACCCATAGTTGTGTCTACGGAAATGCAAATATTTTGCACAGATTCGAAAAAAGTTGTATTTACAATAGTGTATTTTAAGTTTTGTTTAATTAATATACCTACTCCGTTATGTTCATTTACTGAGTTTTTGTGTATAAAATTATAGGGTGAAAAATCGGGAATTGTACTAGTTGTTTTAAGCCAGGTTTCATTTAAGAGACAGATATCTATATGTTGTTCCGAAAGAAATTTTTTAAGTAAGGCCCTTTTGCTCTGTAAGCTCTGTATGTTATATTGTGCTATATTCAAATATGTATCCATTATATTATTAAATTACTTAAAAGTATGTCTTTAATTCTTTTATTTGTAATCGGAGCGCTGCTCTTGTCATTGCCAAGCATAACTAATGATTTGACTAGCGCATTAATAATTAACTCGTTGTTTAGTATTTGCTCAGCATTATATGATACTTTATTTATGTCAGTATCAACAGTCTTTACAGGTTTAAGGTTTGGGAATGCTTTCGGGTCGGGCATTGCTGGGATACTCACCACAGTGGCATACGATCGGTTTGGTTTTAAATACTTATTCTTCTTCTCTTCCATCTTTTGTTGCTTCACTGGACAGTTCCTAGAGATGGCCAAGTGACCACCATGACAGTTGATGCACACAATTTCTTCGACGTCGCATTCTTTGTAGGAGTGTTGTCCAGAGCACGAAGAACACCTTTGAGAACCTCGGCAGACTTTTGCAGAGTGATTAAACTTCAGGCATTTGTAGCACTGTAGTAACGGAGGTATGTATATGTGGACCGGGTATCTGAACATCTGTATGTAGGCGTGCTGCGGCAGCGCTGTTGCAGCGAAGGTCACTGCAATGGTCCCCAGCGGAGTGAGCTTTCCATCTACCTTTCGCATAAATCTCTTGACGGAGATGACTTCTGCATCGCAGGTAATGCTTTTGTATATGTCTTCATTGCTTAAGTCTTTAGGTACGTATCTTATGACTCCAGTAATTTCAGTGAGGTGCGCCGGCACGAACGCTTTCAATTTGTGTTTTCCTAGAAAGTGTGTCATGGTAAGGAAGTTATTGGCCGGTGCTGGTTTTCTGAACGTTATGCCCACTTTATATGCGTTCACTCTGTGGACGCCAGCGATTCCTTTTACATTTTCCGTAAATAACTTTGTAAGTGCTATTGGATTTTTGTTACCGATTTTTTCGTTTTCTTGTGATTCAACGTAGACTAC